TTGCTGCCATGTGATTTGCCTGATAAGATATCTGCCTTACGGAGCAGTTGAACAGGTGTACCTAATAAAGTGGCCAGTGAGTGTATAAGCCTATAGACTATGTTTACCTTCTGGACCGTGTTTCATGTTACACCCATATTAAGGGTTGCGGGGTTCTTCTCTACGCAGGCTGGTGTTGATTTTTGAATTCAGTTCAGCTGTGTGTGTCTCCACCTATGCAGCCATGTCATCCATTCACAAATCCTTTGTCAGAATCTGTGAATGGAGAAACTACAAGTCCTATCAGCCACTGCAGCAGAGTAGTTTTTACAGGATACAAGAGCAGAGACGTCACCACACTTGCAGTCCATCCATTCTTCCTCTGTCCATGTTACCAAATGTCTGTACCTCGGTATGAACGTGGATGGGGAGGAATCTGCAGAAGTCAGAGTATTGAACCCGCGAATGCAAAAAAAAAAAAAATGGGTGCACATTTTTTCTTTTATGAATGTGTGTGCATTTATAATTTTTTTCTGAAAGGTGGATTTTGCCTTTAAGGTAAGATTGTTGTTAAAGTGAATGGTCTGGTCGACAGGGTCTCTTTAAATAAATTGTAAAGATTTTTGCAATCTTCATGTCGATGTTCTACCTACTCACAAATGGCTTCCACTCACTTCCTACTTCCTGAGTAGGAGAGAACATGTCTCCTCAAATGGCATTAGGAGAAATACTGCTGGAAACAGTAAGACAATTACTAAGCATCTAATGCAGGGATAGGCAAAATCTGGACCCTCCGCTGTGGTGAAATTACAAAACCCATCATGCATCTGCCTCTGAAAGTCAACATGTGGCTGTTAGAGTTTTGCAATGCCTAAGGGTTCTGTAGTTGTACCACAGTTGGAGGGCCAGAGTTCGTCTACCCCTTCTCTGATGCATTTGAGCATTAAGTAAGCCGTGTTTTAATTTAAAAAAAAAAAAATTACTGGCAGCAAATTGAACCAGAAACATCAGTTATATGAACACTCAATTACAAAATGACAGTTACCCTGAATTACAAAAAGCTGTAGCAATTACATGTTATAACATTTTTCAACAAACATGGAGTTATCCTTTAAGAAAACATCATGATAAACATATTTTAATACTACATGTCGCCTAAGAAATGAAAATAATGATGTTAATCAAGAACACTGAATTCCCATAAAGAATTGTCAGCAAAGCATATTAACCAAATCAGAGAAGTAATGAAGAAAGTAGGAAAGGGTTTGGAAGGATAATAAAGCATAACACTCTCAGAAACAGCACATCATGTAGTTCTGTTCAAACAATGTTTCTTCAGTGAAGTCTGACATTTATCGGCAGTAATATTTTATGTTTGTGCAGTTTAACTGGCCACTTTGTATAATAATTTACAACCTAATTTAATGTAAATGTGACTGATGAGATGCTTTCATGATCGTCTTTTGGTTTTGTGATGAATTATTGCTATACCGTCTCATATGGCTATGTACAAATATTTTATTTATTATACATAGTATATGCAATCTTTAACGTTGAACTCCAGGCAGATATAGGAAAAAAATGTGCAGTTATTTAATAATTTTAAAAAAATCATTAAATGCATTTAGTGTAAGTACCTAGAGTTTGCATTGGCCTATTGAAGTCCTCCATACAGCAGCATTCACATACAAAGTCACATATGCAGTGGGGGGAGACAGCACTAAGGGCCAATCAGATGTTGTAGTGCACATGTGCTGACAAGAAACATGCTGACAGGAAGAGAAAGTTAATTCAGCAGAGGGATGAGCATATCAGCCTGCTGTTGCCCCTTCACTACCAAGTTACAAGCTGGGGGTGGGGAAGTGATCAAGCTGTAGTGCTTAAGTGCAGATGGGAAAAATCAGGTTACCAGCCCAGCTCTGTCATCCAGCAGAGCCGTGTAAGCTCAAAGCCGGATGGACAGAAATGTATTCCTGTAAAACAGCTTCTGTGTCTGTATTTAAGCTTGTATTTAGCTGGAGTTCAGCTTTAAAGTCCAGCTGCAGATTTAAGGGCTCAATCAGGCAGGCGTGCATGTCCGTACCGCGCACAAGCCCGTAAAATGATCGGATCCCGGAAGGGACAGGTGCTGTGCGTAATTGTGCTCAGCAGCCTGATCTTCCCTATGGGATGACATGGCTCCATGTAATTACATGAGGTCACATGCACACCCGAACCTGCACATTTGTGCGGGTTTGGGTGCCCGCACTTGGACGCACACTGTCTGCATCCAAGTGCGTGCACCTCAGTATCACAGGTACGACCTGCTTCCATGTTGGCAGCCCCCCGCTTAAATTCTGCTTAACACTGCTTGTGTCTGCACGGTGTGCTTTCATACACTTGTATGGTAGTTTACAGTTAGAGCAGAGATACTTGGGACCTGGCCCAATACAAGTCTACAAAGGTTGGTTACACAGGAGTGACAAGCGCTGAAGAGGATTTCTTGTGGATAGGCTGCAAACATCAGAGCAGGTCGCAGGTGTGCTTAGTGAGGTAAGTAAGCAGCTGAGGTCAGGGGTCTTAAGGTGCCCATACACTGCTCGATTCTCGTACGAGAATCGGGCGAAATCCCGCGATCGTACGATAATCGAGCAGTGTGAACGAAGACGTGCGACCGTTTCTACTGTACGGTCGCACGTCTTTTGTCGAACCAACATGCTCGAAAACCCGCTGAGAATCGTACGATTGTCGGCGGGTTTCTAGCCTGCTTGTCCGATAGCTGCGAAACGGGCCGCTGTGCACACTGCCCGTTCTGCATTGCGATCATCGGGTCATTTCGATGATCGCAAGTACGATCTGCCCGTCCAAGGTGGGCAGATCGTACGAGCTTTCAATAAGCATACGACCATCGCAAGACAAAAGTCTTGCGATGGTCGTAAGGTGTATGGGCACCTTTAGTGTGGATTAGTTCAGGGGGGCTAGTGATGTTGGGTTTGTATTTGTTTGTTAGGGTTCATTCACACAGGCACAGAGGTCTGCTAATCCAAGCATATACTTGTGTATAGGTATGGATGTACATCCCTGGACTGGACACAGACTGTCTAAATCCAGATCAAGGGAATTGAAGTCACCTGCACTCCAAACATGTCATTGCATCTCGCAGATTTATTGTTATGAACAGTTTCACAGACATGTATACACCGACATTTCAGGGCCTTGCAGGATCCCATTCTTAATGCAACATAAAGTGTCTGCATCCAGGGGCGTACATCCAAACCTGTATGGATGAACATGCGCGGAGCAGTGTTTACCAGCGTATAGCCGCAGACTGCCAATGATTTGTACAGGCAGATTGTACGCAACACTTGTTGCTCCCACGCGCAGAGATCCGGACGCTTTTTATGGTACATGGAATTTTGGGCTTGTGTGGAATGAGCCCTTAAACTGGTATACAATTGTACTTACATTGTTATTGTGTTCTAGAGATAATACCCCAAAACAGAAGGTAAATATTGCATTTGTCATTCCTTAATCATAATAACATACGTTTGATAACTAAAAGAATTGTTCTTACAGGCTAGTGTCGAGACCCAGCAGTGTTGTGTAACACACTGTCAGTATGGTGAGGAGACTTTTTGTTTTATGGACCCAAGGTCATTCTGCTTTTCAATACACAGAAAATGTAAAAAGCTTGTGTAAAATGACATTGTTTTTTTCCTTCTATATACACATCTTCCTTAGGTGTATAGGAGATGTTACCTTCTTTTTTTTTTTAGTTCTGCTAAGTTTAAAAGGTATGGTACACATACAGAGGCCATATGCATTACACTGCAATACAGCGTGGGAGAAAATTAAAAATCTGCACACAGCCATATGTTATTATTGTTCTTGTTAAATGCTTCTGGGAGTACTAAAACACATATTGGCTTGTAATGTAGTTAGATATGCATGAAAGGACCTTTGCCATATGGATGGACACATTTGATTTTTGTCCAGCCCAGGAATGTCCTTACAAATTTCTATGTGTTTTGGAACTCAGTTTTTTCTACAACGAAAATTGATTAGGGCCAATTCACACTTGTGCGTTGTGGCAGGTGCGCTAAAATGGCAATGCACCTGCTCGATGTGCAGTGAGCTGTGGTGCCATTCATTGTAAGTGGTACCCCAACGCATTGTACTGTAGAGCACAACACATTGCAGGTCACCGCAACACATATACCATGCATAGTGGTGCACTATTTTCAAAAAAGGGTCAAGTTTTTTCATCCGTTGGGACATGCCAATGGGCTGCCTTATAACAATGCACATTGACATGTGCCATAATCATACCTCCCAACTGTCCCTCATTTGGAACCAAGTACCTCTGTCCCTCTTTCCTCCTCCGTTGTCCATCCTTTTGGTCGGATGTACAGATAACTATAAACATTTTCTATTTAACTAGAATATACATTCTTAATGGTCCACATGACTGGTGGTGTGGCAGGGGTTTTTCTATTGCCTGAATACATTGTGCTAGAAGGTGTACCTCTTTGTCATCTCAGAAAGTTGGGAGATATGCCATAATGCATGTTAATGCATGTGCATTAATGCACTGCAACGGCACGCTTTAGCGTGAATGGGCCCTAATGTGCCTAATTGATAGATTTCATTGTGTTTCCAGTATATTCGTATAAAGTGTGGATGTACATTATGGTGCAATGTGTGTTGATGCGCCCTACGCATCTTATGCATAGTCTTAAAACCCATCATTTTCTAAGCTTTTCAGACCTTGTAGAATCTTTTCCTATAGATTTTCTGCGTGTTTTACTCTGTGTGATGTGATAAAAAAAACATTAGCATTTTGTCCTCAGTGAGAACAGAGGAATAGGTCCCTGACCTGAACATGTCTAGTCTTTCATTTGCATCACCGGAAGATTTTTAAGGAATGCATTAGCATGTTATTATGATAAAAGACATACTGTAAATGCATATTCTAACTTTGATTACATTGGATTTGTATTACACAAAGGTCATACGAACATACAAGTTTTCTCTGCCCTCACCTGAATTAAACTAGCTGCAGGATTCCTCCTCTTTTCAAAGTGCTTCTGGCGGTGCTGTTCCTGAACTTTTAAGGCAAACCCAGATCCAAGAATACCCTGTAATGTAATGTGTTATTGGTTTGTTATCAAAAATAATGCTAGGAATAAGATATTGAAGAACTGTGGCAAGTAATTATTATCACAGGGAACAAATGCAAGCCCATCAGGGCCTATGTGTTGTCAAGATTGCCATTACTTGCCTGCGTAATGTCAAGTCATTAGTATTTACAGTACCATATTACTATAATGTAGTTCCCTGCATGTCTGCCACTGTCAAACCACGCCACCATTATCCCATGTTTTACCACAGCACACTACTGCTCTGCTCTTAAGCCCTTGAATTAGATTTTGTAATGTTTTTTTACCGCAATGATTATATACACAACAGTCAGATTAAGAAAATATTTTACATTTTTTTATTTTTTTATTTTCCTTGCACATGATTGGGTATTCTTTGCAAGGTTAAATTTGACCATATTCACTAAGCTAAGAGAAAATCTCAGTGCAAATTCTCTGGTTAGTAAATCAATGCTCATATGCTTGACCGTATGTTTGACCATAAGCTAGAACATATGTTTTGACTGCATGAATCCAAATCAGACAAAGTGTTTCTATGGCAAAGTGTATTGTGGTGTTGTGGTATATCTGGTTTTGATAAATTGGTGAATTGTGAGGAGGTGATACCTTTTGCCCTTGGCCTAAACTACATGGGCAATTATTAGTCACAAGAGTCACATATGCAAAATATTATTTTGTAACTAATTGCAGGTTGTGACAGTAAACAGTGCCCATTTGGGCTGCAAGCTACTAGCAATTTTCTAGGAATAACTATTGGGTCGCTCAATCACGTCTTACACAATGTAAAAAGCTTATGTAGCTAATGGTGTAAGAAGGCAATATGCATATGAAAAAGACAAATGACACTTTGTATCAGTGTTATCCTTTGATAAGCCTTTCTAAACATGTAAATCAGAAGAATAATTAAAATGTGTAACAAATGTTTTTGTGAATTAGAATGTGCATGCATGATATGTTATCATACTCAATCAGGAAATGTTAACAGGTTCACTGCTTTAATCACTTTTACCCAAAATGGTTTCTTTCATAGTATATATAGATTGAAATTCTAAACCACTGAACCACGTGAAGTGTAATCATCCGGATGGATAAAAGAATATTTTATTCTTACCCTGCTTACACCTATTAGGGAGCTAAATGTCAGCAACCACCCACACATTATGTAATGAGGTTATATAAAGCTTCAACTGACTTTCAAAAGACAATCATCAGCTTGACATATAAAATTTCATTTAGCATCTTCCCACTTCATTGACTGAGTTTTCTCAGGATAAGTTAACAGTGGTACAATGTTCCAAGTCCTGTTTTTATTTTAATTGGTCTCAAATAATCAAAATCGAGCATATTATGGTACTTTTAAACAGCCTTGTGGCCTCATTAAAATACCCTCTTCTTGCAGGTATTGATCTTAAAAAAGAATAAATTCAATAATGCAAGTCTCTGGTGGTCAAAGACTAATACATGGGCTACAGATCACAGGCAACAAGCTGAAAGGAAGATATTAACTTTATTCATTCAAATAAATATTATACAAAATATCTTCCCTCCAGACTGCAAGAGAACAAATAATCTGAACCATATTAATGTGTCTCATTAAGGATATATTTTAAGATAAACTATAAGATAAACAAGAGACTGCAGTGATCTTTTGCTTACCCAGGAAAACAATAGTTCCAAACAATTGTCTGCTGATAAAGGTGCAAATGCCTAGTGACAAACAGCGACCATAAGTTTGCAGTGTTGCTGTTGACTACACGTTTGCATATTAGTTGTAAATAACCCTTGGAGATGTCATATACAGCCCCACCATCGATCTATGTCCCTATCTATCTTTTGTATCTACATATCTGCATTGTGTATAATCCTTTTAGAAATGTCAGCATTGTGCATTTGAATTGTTATTGTGACTTTGAGTTTAATACTCACTGCGGGTAATGCGAAGAAGGAAATGCCAAGCAGAGCAAACCCAGCTGAAAGAAGTCTTCCAAGCCATGTGTGTGGAGTTTTGTCCCCATAGCCGATGGTAGTCAACGTGATCTAAGGATGACATGCAGAAGATAGTTCCATTATGGTGTCTCAAGTTGCAGTTTCTTACAGTCCATTGTGGAACGTGATACATTTTGGTAGCATGTATATGTATTGAATGCAGGAAGTATAAACAAATATTAATATCAAGAGCGCATTGAAGGCTTTTCCTTTGCAAAAGTTAAATACTTAAAATTGTGAAGTTTGAAGTGATCAGCAACTTTTTTACCATCTGAGTTTGTTACAAAACGAATGCATGCCTCACTGTATTTGATAACAGGAGGCTGATTTTATTAAAACTAGAAAAATAAAAATAAACATAAAAGTGGAGTTGTTACGCATAATATCAAATTATGATTTATCTTTTTATTGGAAAAATCAAACAAAAACTGATTTTTTATTATGAACAACTGAAATTTTGTGTTCGTATTAAAACAAAAGTAAACCTTTAAAAAAAAAAAAAAAACACTGCCAGGTAGGCTTTTTATGACGGAAGAGACTGTAAGTCTCTTCTGTCATAACTGCTTCCCCTGTCTGCCAGCATTTTTTCTTTCTTAGTGTACACTGAGCATATCAGTAGTTGTTTGCCTCTTCAAGAAGTTGTCTGCTCTGCCTAACATAGAGAAATTGCCAGGTTAATATAAATCAATAACATACTCCATAAACAGTATTTAAACAGGGACAATGGTAAGATTTATTCCAAAAAGTCAACATTAAAGTGTATAGTTTCACAGAAAAATGGCAGCTAGATATTGTAATGACTCCATACAAAGTATTTAAAAAATTTACTTGGCCACATTTTGAACAGGAGAGACAACAAGCAACAAAAAAAAATCAACATTAGAGTGTATTATTAAACCAGAAAAAGCAAGTAAAATATTGTACTGACTCTATGCACAGTATTTAAACATTTTTACTAGGCCACAGTTTGCGGGATAGACCCAGCAGGTTTTAATTAAGAAATCACACTTAGAGTGCACTATGTCAGAGAGACAATACCCCCAAAATGTTTGATTGTCAGGCAGAAAACTAGGAGGCACAGAGCATAATTTACTCTGCAACAAACATTTTAAATTTTGCAGCTGATGGCCAGCTGTGGAAACATTATGTATGGCACCTTTTATAGTGTCTGATCACCTCACCAGAAATTTAGAGGTACATACAGAATTGGCTTTGCAGCGAGGAACAGGGAGAACACTTCCATGAAGACATTAAAAGGACAAGGAGATGAACAAGACTTACTAAGGCCAATGGAAATGTAATATGCTGGGGGATTACTACTGGACATTGCATCATAAAAATCGAATGAAATCAGAGCACAAAAGATAAGTAAAGGTTTAGTTTTAGTATAATAAGCTGCGCGGGAGTTTGACCCTTCTGTGACTTTGTGGCCTGTGCTGCACCACAGTAGTACCCAGCCATCATTTTTCCACGTAGAAGGCAATCCCTGCTCTCCAGTAACTGTGGAAGGGAGGCAGGGTCTAGAGCAGGGTCCACATGATCACAGGCATGTGGTCCAGCAAGCAAAGGCTTGAACGTTACATGTACCTTACTGTGCACTGAGTGAATTTGCTGGTGGCTGGGTAGGACACAGCACTGCTGTCCCATATGCGACACCTTGCTGATGGTCACAGCTCTTTCACCTCTACCCCTTCCTCTTTAATGACCTTTAATGGTAACTCGTCAGAACCATCAGTCCTCCTAAGCGACCAAGAGCCTATGGAATGGCCCACACAAAATGCTGCTACACTGTTTGGCAGCTGGGTACAGCCAAAAAGTTACAGTGACAACTGCTATTTTTGCTCTTCGGATTTTAAAGGCTACAACTTAAAAAATAAGTAAGCCATTTTCTATGCAAATCTTCAATCTTTACTACCTGTGTCTCACAGCCCTAAAATGACAGGTCTGTTTCACCACAAACATGGGAAGATTTGCTTGGTAATTCTGGTTCTGATACTGATTTCAAAGAATTTCAGTGTGATATAGGAAGTCAAGACCCCCAGTTCTTCACTCAGTCTGAACTTTAGTGAGAGATTTGGGATTACCCAAGAATTCTGCTGAACTGTTTAGTAGCAGATGGAACATTGATATATTTGTATAGAAGCAGAGAAATCGAGTTTACTCCCTACTTTTCGCAGGAGGTTGATTTTACTTTACTGTAGTAATAAAGATGGCTTGAAAAAGAAAGTACAAAGAACAAAGCAGATGAATGGAAACTTTTCATTGACTTCTAAAAGAAGTTTAAAAGCTGTTCTTTTGCACATTGGGAACAAGTGTGCATTTGTAACTGTTGGTCACTTGTTACATCTCAAAGAAAGTTATGAGAATTAGGAACTGGTTGTTACAAAAATAAAATATAATGATCATGATTGGGTGGTCTGTGGAGACCGTAAGGTATTGTGCATGCTTCTGAGGCAAACGGGAAGATATGCTAAGTTCCCATATTTCCTTTGTGAATGGGATAGTAGAGCAAATATTCAACCCTGGGAGCTAAAACACTCTGGGAAGAAGAGCTCTAGAACCTGGAAGCAAGTATATTTCGAGTAAAAATCTTATTGAGCCACAAAAAACCTCTTCTGCCACCTCTTCATATAGATTTGGGCCTTATGACACTGTTTCTTTGAGACCTTACAAAAAAGTAGAATGCTTTAATTACCTCTGCAAGAAGTTCCCTAACTTATCACCAGAAAAATTAAAAGAAGGTATTTTTGTCAGCTCAGACAGTAGAAGACTGTTGCTAGATGAAAACTATAAAAGAATGAATATAAAATGAGGTTTGGAGTTCCTTTAAAAGTGTTGCTACTAAGTTCTTTGGGAAAGGACCCTTAATATGCACTTATCGATAAAAACATGCTGGAAAAATTCAAAACTTAGGATGCTCATTGAGTATGAAAAATAATTTCTTGAGTGCACACTTGGGCATTTTCCCAGAAAATCTAGGTACCGTGAGTGAGGAAGAGGGAAAATGTTTCCATCAAGACACTAAGGTGATGTTAAAGAGATAGCAGGTAGGTAGAACATTAATATGATGGAGATTATTGCTGGATGCTACATCGTGAAAATCTGGAAGCAGCACATAAAAGGATAAGCAGCAGATGCAGCTTCATTCGCAAAAGAAAAAGTGATTACTAACGGGGTTATTCACAAAAGGGTGAAGAGTTAGGAAAAGGTAGGAGAAGTGAACAATCTAGGCTAAAATAGAGGATTTGGAAACATTCTCCAATTCAGCTCACTTTCTAGTTCAGCTACGTTGTCCTATATTGTTCACTTCTCCTGCCTTCTCCAAACTCTTCAACCTTTTGTGAATAACCCTGTAAGACTTTTGACTTAGGTTAAGATAAAAATAACCAAATTTTACACTTTTTGTAAAGAAATATATTCAGAAATGGGCAAAAATAGGTTTCATGTGGTAATTTTTTGCTAGCAATTTTATCATGGTCATCACAAATTGTGAAAAAGACTGAAAGTGATGGAGCAAATCTGAGGTCAATTTTGGATTTAAAACCCAAAATTCCTATAAAACCAGCAAACATTTTAAAAGAAAAGTTTTTATGACCCTCAGTTTTGCAGCCATGTGTTAATATGGTGTGCAGAAGAGGGGTGTGTAGGGTGTGCTTTTATTTATTTTTTATATACATTGTATTTTTTGGTTTATAACACACATAATAATAACATGAGGTTGAGATGCCCTCACGTGACAATATTAGACAGGTAGTCTAGCCTTTATGGAGACATCAGGGGTCTATTAGATTTCTGATACCTCCCCTAGCTGATGAAAGCTGCATGTAGATCAAAGAGAATGCACTGATCTGCAAGTTACCTGCTGCCTGCCGTTCTGGGATTCTGACAGCTCTGTGCTCAGAGCTGATCACTCTTGGGTTTAACTGCCTACTCCTGCTTTCCATTCTGAAATGGCAGACAGCACTCCTAGGCCCACAGAACATCTTAGTTAATTCTGTGGTTAGTAGATAGAAATGATAGGGCAGTTGTACAGCTGCTGGCTGATATCAGCTGGCTTTTTTAGGTTTTTGGGCCCCCAGGCATCTGCCTGGCCCTTGGCACCCATCTAAGTTGCATTGTGAGTGATCTGGTTCTGGTCACAGGTTGACTATTACCAAAGACTGCAAGTGCACTGAAAGTCCATTTATCCTTTGGGTTTTCAATTGCCTTCATGGCAATGTGAATGGTATGTATGTTAGTCTCCCCAGACCCTTTCCACCTTACAGTTGCCTACATTAATGATTTTTCTATTCAGTAAAATATGTATACAACCAGCAGGCACTTATACTATGTATTCTATTCAAACTTTTAACGGAGTTCAGAACCAGTCCCCAGGTGAACAAGGCATAGAATCACTAGACCTTTAAGTATTTAGTAAATGAAAGAAATACTCACGTACTAGTCGTGGACCTGTAGTAGATGTTTGAGACTGCACTATCCATATTATTATTTTTTCTTTACCATATTAGGTAGACAGTGGTTGAGATTGGTTGGAAAGACAATTTTTTTCTGCTTAAGGAATTTTAAGTTTTATTTATAATTATGTATTCTGCATACCGTGTGCTACAGATTAACCTGTGATTGACAGTACCCCTCTGAAATAGCTAAAAATACTGAATGGTTTACAGTTGTTACTGAAAAAAATTATTTTCTACAATGAAAAGTAAAAAAGACAATAAAACACTGAATCAATAAAGATAAGTGGCAAGCCAATTAACACCTATGAGTCTTAGTACTTTGGCAAAACAATCAGTATGACTGCATGGCCTATACAAAAAAACTTTTGTTTTTTTAACCTTAACAGCTTTTCCTATTAGTACTTTGGAAACAACCACAATGGGGACTCAACACAGCTGTACTTGCCAGCAATTGATTTTCAATAATGAGCATTCAGTCAGTTGTCTTAAAATATATTAAAGAGTATAATTGTGTACACTGTAATTTCAGCTGATGGAGAGCAACTGTGTATTTGTTTATTCCTTTCACACTATTTTTACTTGGCATAACGGTCTGGTAATTTCTGAACAGAGTATCAGACTCAAAAATAGCTCAGTGTCTACAAAAAAAAAAAGTCTTCACATCTGCTCTAAAAATAACTAGCATTCCCATGAAGATTGTTCACAGTCTAAAGCTGTTTAATATCATTTGTTTTAATAATTTCAGACACTACAAATGAGACTTTAAGGTGGATCTTGTGGTAAAATGCAAACTCCACTTACACTGTCTGGGCCCGTCCCCCTTCACAAATCACCTACTATTAGGTGTCAAACGTACCTGTAAAGTAAAAAGTTAGAGTTTATACTTATCCTCACCCCCATTTTCCACCCATGGCACCTAGGCAGGGCTCCATAATGTGACAATCCATAATGTTAAACTCTTTCTGGCTCGAACCTGAGGAATACAGAGCAGCCAACATCTTGCTAGAAGACACTCTTGCAAAGGACTGGAACATTTTCTGGCAAGATATGGCCTGCCCTGTATTCCTCAGGAACCTTCCCAGGAAGGATGTCTTACCCAGCGATTGTAGAAGACTGAAAGGAAGGGGGTAACATAAGTAGAAACCTAACTTTTTTTTTACAGGCAAATTTTACATCTACTAACAGTAGGTGATTTGTAAAGGGGGAGGGGGCACGGGAAATTTAAGCAGGTCTTGCATTTTATATGATTTCCTTCAATTCATTATATATTTTAATGTAAAATAGGCCCTTGAGTTTGTGTGTCATGTTTTGTAAATACTGCAAAATGAAGAAAAGAGATGTCACCAGAGACACATGTCTGCTTACATACAGAGAAGGCTTAAAAGAGAACTAAGGGGTAACCTTGTTACATATACTAACCTCCTCCCATGACCCAAAGCTCAGTATATAGCGAGCTACAGCTCGCTATATACTGAGAGCGCCGCAGCCAGGACGGATCACGACAACACTGTCGAGATCGACCCAGCTGGCTGATTGACAGCGGGCTCTGCCTATCTAGAGGTAGAGCCAGCTGTGCCCACCCCCTCCCCCGTCCGTTCCTCCAGTCAGCACTGGAGGATCCGGGAGGGGGGGAATCCCCGCGGGGATCGGTGGCTAACAGTCACCGCTCTCTGGTGGGAGATGATCGGAAAGTGAGCAAGGGACGGTATGTGCTCGCTCACTTCCAGATCTATAGAGCCGATATGTGACACTTTCATTGCCACACGTCAGTGCTAACTTTGAGAATGAGTGAAAATCACTCACCTCATATTTCTCCTTAAATTATATTTGTGAATATTATACACAATGCGTAATGTTATAATAGTAAAGAAATATTTAGTTTGTTGAAAAGACTGGTCCTTTTCGCTTAGAATCTTATATGCCTTTTGCATGATTCCCAGTTCTCTATAGGCCTAATTCTTATAAGAATGGTTCTCCTACCATTTATTTCCTGTTATGTTTTATAGTGTTGTTGTATTAACAATACATAGGAATTGTGTATTGTGCCATAAAATGCAGTAAAAATATGATAGCAACGTATAAATAAAAGATTAGAACAATAAAAATAGAAGTAGCAGCGGATTGTACATTCTCCATTACAACCTGAGTAGGGCCCATCAATACATCAGCAGTGCTAAGCTGATAGAACAAAATCATGTTGACAGGCAGTTATAGCTTCCTTACTGTAATAAAATCCAACCTTGTTCTTGCTTAGAATTATAAATTCTTTGCTTCTAACAATAATAAAGAACAATACACAGCAGCAATATGTATTATATAATTTCCCCATGTATTTGGATTGAGGCTTACACTTTCTCTTAAAGCTGAACCATTTTACATGTCTGCTGACAAACGGCTTTAGAGATGCACATGCCTCATTGCCAGGGTAACTCCCAGGCACATTACAGGCCAACCAATCAAGTTTGCCAAAAATGCCAAACCCGGAAAAAGGCAGAACAAAGATGTCAGCACCTGCAAGTGAGCTAGAAAACTTTGTATTGCTGGAGGGAAGGTGAATATAGATATATAGTTCCGCTTTATCTATATCTCTAAGCTTTTTGGCTGCATCTTCTCCAGTTTATGTTATTTTCCCTTTAATTTCGTGTTTGTATGATTGTGTTTATAGGAGTTAGCACATTTTTCATACATACGCCCTCTACAAAGTTGTATTCTCATAAATACTAGTGCAATATCAAAAGGACCTCAAAAGTAAGACGTTTATAATTGCTATGGCTGTTTCCATCAAGCCCTGTCCCTTTCTGCTTGATATTTGTATATTCTCTTCCTTTTCCTTTGGAAACTCAATAAAACTTTGGTTTATGAAAAAAAGTAAGAAGTTCATCTATTATATTTTAATTTAGTTATAGTCATTTACCAATAGTATTTTATAATATTATTTCATAATATCAGCATTATATAATCTTTTGTGTTAAGCCGTGCTTTTTTTGTCTGTAGCTTAATCATTAGGTTATTTTCCTTTTAATACATTAGAGCCTAACTCCAGAATTAAAGAAGCAAGCGGTGACAGGTTAAAATGTCTGTTTCTATCCCTGACCCCATTTCCTGTCCCAGTAGTGACACCTTTAGATGAAATGGGCGCAGCTGTCATAGAGACAGAAAGGCATTGGAATGATTTCCCATCACTTCCTGTCCTGACAGGAAGTGAAAGGAAAGCTCCCCAATAGGGAACAGGTGGCAATAACACCCTGATAGAGGCTCTGACACTTTCCTGCTGTATCCAAAATAAATACAAAGTTTTGGCTTGATTTTGGTTTTAACACATGCATTTCATTCTGATAGAATCCTACAAGAGAGACCTAGCTGCGCTAAATAATCATACTGAAATCTCATGATCATTGCAAGGGCTGTTACAGAGTGCATGTAACATAGAAAGTGCTCTGTAGCATGCTTTCTTTCTTTAAGACCCCTTTCATATGGGTGGCCTGATAGGGTCCGCCTGTCAATTTTTCAAGTTTCGCTGGACCTGATTGTGCTGACCGTTTGTATCTAATTCCCCATAGACCGACATGGGATCCAGTCATTTAACAGCAGTGAAATCCTATCTCTACTGCTCCGATCAGGAGGGCATCCATGCTTGGAACCCTTCCTGATCAGCCTGTGTGAAAAGGGACCTAAGTTATAATTTTCAAACTCTTCCCACAACCTCTCTATATAAAACCTCTATATAAAACCAATTAGTTAATTTACATTTTTCATTTAACTTACATAATTGAAATAACTCAGAGTACAGTGCATAACAATTTATGACATACAGCCAGACTAAGAATTTTGTGGGAAAAACTCAGTAAGTAAAAGAAAGATGAAAAGCAGACAAATACAAATGTATCATCTACTAATGATGAAATATATAAATGGAAGTTTAAACGCAATGAAAACAAATGATTTTAGTAGTCAATCACTGAGAAATTATTGTAGTCATGCATAATTTTTCTCTTTTAACCCCTTCATGACTGAGCTTGTTTTTAGTTTCTGTTCGTAAATGACTGACACACTTTTGACAATTCCTTAATTAAAACAGATGTAAGTAATTATACCAAAAATGCATACACCCCAGTGAACCCCATTATGGAGCTGCATTGAAAACCAGACTGCACATTGTTACTGTGTATTGAATTTTATGCAGCTAATACATTTTATAGATACAAATTGGTTATTAATCCAATTAAGGGAGCTACCTAAATCATTCAAGTATGGGTCTATCTCCCTATGCTTGTGACAGGCATAACATAAATAATAATTTCTACTTAGCAATACCATTTATTTATTTTTTTCACTCACCATTAATGCAATAGCACAGAAAAAAAAACAGATGACCTGTTCATTTCTAAAGATTAATGACTGGTAACCTACATCGGGGAGAAATCAATTTTGCATTGTTTTCAGTGCAGCTAGACGAGTTCTTGTCCATACAGAAAATGTTCAACAGTTCAAGATGGATTTACTTACCGTACCCCACCATAAAGCATCTGCATATGTTTGAAATTGTGTATTAGCTTCTTTTTCAACCAGATAAACAAGAAACGAGGAAAAGATGAGTACTAGGAATCCTATGTACCAGGCTGTGATGAGTTCCTGAAAGGTAAAAACACAAAACTGAGAACTCTCTTTATAATTGCAGTAAGTTAATGGTAAATAGATGATTTATCTTCAAATTTGGTGTTGTGTTCTTCAATCTACCAGGCAAAAAAAAATTAGTAAATACTCCGCCTTTACCTACCACCACCATCACCACCACCACGCACATCCACTATACATAGAATTCACAGATAAAACTACAAGGACTAACAAAAATAAACAGCTTAATCATATATTTATTAGCCAGGTAAATATGAAATAGTGCATATGAACATTAAACAGTATAGTCTTTTGTTTAGCCAGCAGGCTCCTTTTCACTATTCGCTTGCTACTATTTGTTGTAAAAAAGTAATTGTTCACAGAGATCAATAACTGAAGATGAAATTCACATACAGAACTAAATGTTACATGAATGCTGCTGAACAGAAGAAAAAGGAACAGAGAGTTAGAGCTCTTACCATCTTACCAGAAACCATATGACAAATCTGTAGCCTTTTTTGTCACATCACTGGCATCATAGTAAAAGGTACGAATCTCATTTTATAAGGCCCTGTTCACAATACAATGTTGCAGTAATGCAACACACACACGTTAGTGCATTGCTGTGCCAGTCTTTTTTAATGGCACTCCAAGGCACGTCCAGAACATAGCTGTGTTATAGTACACTCCAGTGCACCACAACACACAATGTGAATAGGTTAACGTTTATGTGAAACTCCACTTCTGTTGAAGAAAAATCCTCTCTAGGTCTCTCTAGGACTACTTCATTATGATAGATGGGAGGGATTGTCTGGTATAGTCACGTGATCAGTCCCACTGTTGTAGGGGAAAACTGCTGGGAAAAGCAGTAGGTCAGTAATGTAACCAGGAAATGAAGTATTCTGTACACATAGAGTATACTAGGAATGCCCCTATACCGATACTACAGTACTACAGTAGTATCCGTATCGGTGCGGATACAGGGCATTTTCACGAGTACTTGTACACGTGAAAATGCCCCAATACATAGCGTCTATTTTTAAATAGCTTTGGGCTGCTCATTTAGTACAAGTGGTCTGCGCGTATCACTTGTAGACAAGCCTGCTCCTTCCCCCCGCCTCCATCCCTCCAAGGTCCCCCGCTTTAAGGTCCTTCCCCCCCAGCCGCCCCTCTCCCCGCCATAGTTTTCAGGCTCCCCCGCTCTTCTGGGGTACCCCGGACCATTGCAGATGCCTTCAGGATTGAGAGCAGGGAGCAGAGCAGAGAATGTCCACACTTATCAGTGACACACGGGCGCTGTATTCACAGGGTTTTCTGTGTCAGCTGTCACATGTAAAGCTGTACATAAGATCCAGCACAATGCTGTGCTGGATTTTCTGTACTGGAGGGCAGACTTCATAAAGAGAACCTGTCACCTTCGAATGATATCACATAGGGGCTTGTTATGCCCTGTGTGATATCAATAAAGTTAAGTGAAAAAAAGTGATATAAATACAAAATAATTACATAACAATTAAAAAAGTGATAAAAAGGTAACAAATATTACAAAAAGGTAAAAAAAATCAAATTAAAATTAAAAACAAAAAAGTACTAAAAAAGTAATTAAATTTTTTTAAAACAAATACCAACAAATGGCCAACTCTCCTCCCCCCTCAATATACTTACCTTTTGGCAAAGGTCCTTCCCCTCTGCTTGTACTATCTGTGCCCTATACTGCGATCCAGTGAAGCCCTGCGCTATAGATTTTGAATTTTACTCGCAGACCGCGCTGACCAATGAGAAGTGCTTCTTAGCACAGTTAAATAGGGTTTTGGTTCAAATTATTTTTTGTATCAGGACACGTATAATCATGGTTTGAGTTATAGATCTTGATCATTATAAAAAAAAAACTGCCCTAAAATCATTAGTCTGTATTGTTTTAGAAAAAATGTCACATGTCCCTTTAAGAAAATGTATTGGTATTGTCAAGTACCTGAGGGAAAGTAATTGTACTTGAAAAAATGGTATCGGTGCATCCCTAGAGTATACACCACCATTTGTCATGCATTTTAATTTTCCAACATTTGAAAATTTTTGTCAGTTTTAGCAATTCATAGCTGGGTGCAGATTGGAATAACAAGGTCATTAAAAAAAACATTATACTGTATTACAAAATTGGTTGTATAGTAAGGGTCCCCAAATGGTGGACCGCAGTCTGGACACACACTGAATGGCAGTCACCAACCTGTGCTGGATCTCCCCTCCTCTTCAGTCATTGGTTGCTAAGACCGCAGCGTTGCTAGCAACTAATGACATAATTCCGTTCCACACCCAGCATGAAGGAGCACGGAAGAATATCGTAAGGTTCTTGAATGCATTTTTAAGATTTAACTCTTGAGTTTAGTGTTACTTTAAGCAAAGTGGAATTACTTCAGCCTAGTCCCTGAAACTGGCTACAGTGACAAACACAATCACTTCATATATTTCTGCTAATAGTGGATATTATGTGTGGCAAATAACAGTGTTGTTTACCTTGCTGTGTGCGTAAACAACTGAACCCAGCAATTTCCACGTCCCCCCTCTCCGATCCATGCGCACCATACGTAGGATCTGTAGGAATCGAAGACTTCGAAGGGCTGATGTAGCAAAAATATTTCCCTGAGATCCAGCAGACACAACTGCCACTGATGCAATAAGAACTATGATATCTAGAGACAAAAGAGAAATGGTTATGTCGCATTCATGTTCTAAAAAGCATTGCAAAAGACAATATTACTAATTAGTCTTTACCCCAGTAAAGCTTACATTACAATGTTCTTTACACATCTAAAGTCTATATTCAATTTAACCAGGTTTTACACTTTTAGGAAAAAATAGAACTCTTATCCATACACAGGTTCTGAACCTGCTATATTTCTATATTTTTCATGGGTTCAGGGGTACTTCAGGGAGTTAATCTAATCTAGTGAAGATTATTATTATTAATATCATCATTATTATTACAGGTATTTATATAGCGCTGACAAGTTATGCAGCACTTTACATAGTGTACATTCATATCTGTCCCTGACCTCAAGGAGCTTACAATCTAAGGTCCCTATCTCACATGCATACATACAGGGCCTATTTAGACAGAAGCCAATGAACCTTCCACCATGTTTGGAGTGTGGGAGGAAACCGGAATACCCAGAGGAAACCCACACAAGCAAAGGTAGAACATGCAAACTCCTTGCAGATAGTGTCCTGACTGGGATTTAAATCAGGGACCCCCCAGTACTGCAAGGCAGAAGTACTAACCACTACATTTACTAGGTTTTATGTTTTTCTAAATTAGAAAACACACACAAACTGTCATCGATACTCATTTAAATAAATTACTGAACATATATTAAAAACTAAATTTGTAATTTATTCCAGTAGAAGAATTGCTGGTGTCAGACTATAAGGAGTCTATTCACTAAGCTGCCAAAGAATCTAGCCGTAGCTACGGCTGATCCGTCGGCTAGCTTCGGCCCCAGGGCCCCTTCGGTTCAGCAGAACCGAAGGGCTGCTGTACGGCCGAGCGGCTCAGTCGAGCCGAAGGCATATGCTTCAGCTCGACTGAGCCGAGGTGAAAGCCGAAGCTGGCCGAACGGCCGACAGCCTGCTACTGGCTGCTGGGCATAGCCAGCCGTCATCTCACGGCTGACTCCGGCCACTTGTACACTCAGATCAGCATCCCTGGTTACCAGGATGCTGATCTCCAGATAGCCCAACTCTCCCGGAAGCTCCGGGAGTCTCCTGCTATTAGATAGCGGCTCCCGGCAACCTGGGAGAGAAACACTTTCTCCGGGAAAGTTTTACTCTGCTCGATCGAGCAGAGTAAACCTTTCCCTGCTCTGTTGTCTTTTTTTTTTTCATCTGACATCGGAGCCGTT